TGGGGAAGGAGGAAACCACTGTCTTTTGGCTAAAATTCCTAGCTGGTGAAATAGACATTTCTGTGTTGAAGACTAGGAGACAAGAAAGTATAGTTCCAGATGGCTATGTCATGCTGTTAAACCTTAAGAAAAAAAAAACAAAAAAAAAAACAAAAACACCACGAACAAGGAAACTTGTCTTTGCTGGTTCTCTGTCACTTAAATAAAATGATCTTAATTAACCTTAAGCTGGAATAAGAGTTCTTAATTGTCAATATGGGAACTCGGTAGCTACGGAGGTGTTTCCTTAAGGCTAAAGGCATATGTCTTAACTTTTTCAGAAATGAGGTAAAGAGATTTGGAAAATCACCATACAGTTTTTTGCAGTGATCATTTAGAATTTGATATACATATCCATAAAGAAATCATTAGTTTGGGGAACATTTTGAAAAAATAGCTAATACAATAAAATATTATAATACTTTATTATAAAATGCAACAAGAACAGACTCATTCTAATATCAAATGTAGTTATAAATAATTTAGGCCTTCAAAATATAACTTACTTAAAATAGAAAATACTAAAAATGATGTAGAAATACTACAGAATCACGTTTCCTGAAGTCTAATTACTATGGACAATTTAAAATAGCTGATTACATGTGCTTAGTTCTTTAAGATGAATAGAACCGATGTCATCTTATACTTTTATTTAATTAGCATGCTATACATTAAAATCAGCTGGAAGATAGCCAAAGTAAGCCTTAAAAGGACAGCATGACAATTAAGAGTTGCCATTTATTTTATACTTATTATAAAAGTCAATGCTGAATCATAATGTGAAAAAGTGCAGAAACCTGAATTTTTTTTTAATTTTTTAATGTTTATTTGTTTTTGAGAGAGAGAGACAGAATGTGAGTGGGGGGAGGGGCAGAGAGAGAAAGGGAGACACAGAATCCAAAGCAGGCTCCGGGCTCTGAGCCATCAGCACAGAGCCCAATGTGGGGCTTGAACCCATGAACTGTGATATCATCACCTGAGCCAAAGTCGGTCGCTCAACTGAGCCTCCCAGGTGCCCCTAGAAACCTGAACTTAAGTGATTTTTCTAAATATTTTGATTTCTATTTCAAACATTTGGATATTTGAAACTTCCTAATCTTTGCTAATTTATGTACAAATTTCATATAATATTAAACACAACTTTTGCTTTCAACATGGTTATTGTGGACACAAAGTAATATACATTAAATTCTTCTTAGTAAAATTCCTAATCCATTCTTATTTTTGATTACAGCATTGGGTCAACTTTTTCATAAAAAGGCTATAAACCTTTAGGCCTAACTAAAAAAATGATTATCATGCCATATAGTATAGTAAAAGTGTGGGAAGTCTGTATAACCAGAAGTGTGTGTGTATTTTTTTTTAAATTTTTTTTTAACGTTTATTTATTTTTGAGACAGAGAGAGACAGAGCATGAACAGGGGAGGGGCAGAGAGAGAGGGAGACACAGAATCAGAAGCAGGCTCCGGGCTCTGAGCCATCAGCCCAGAGCCCGACGCGGGACTCGAACTCACAGACCGCGAGATCGTGACCTGGCTGAAGTCGGACGCTTAACCGACTGCGCCACCCAGGCGCCCCGAGAAGTGTGTGTGTATTAACAGAGATACTAACAGGTTCACCCAGGAGTCCAAGTTGTAGCCTAATGTAAGCCTAACGTAACCAGTGATTACCAGTAATCATTCAGGCTTATTTAGGAAAATTAAAAGAAATTCTGCAATTATAGGTTCTATGTCAATTACTTGGTCTCTTTCCAGTTCATGACCTTTACTTTCTTCCAGCTTCAGTATGAAAAATAATTCCGTAAGTATCTTCGTTATAATTATCAATTATCAGCAATTCAATATTAATCTTCAATGGTCTGATTTTAGAATGAACTTCTAATAGGAGTACTTACTATACTTATTTACCCCTGCAAATTCATAATACCTGTAAATAAAAAAACCCAGCATCTTCTAGTTACTAAAGCTTTCAAGCCATTTCTGTTTAAAGTTTACATTTTGTAAAATTATTCCTCAAAAATTGCTGATATAGGACATTTAGAGCTTTTATCACATTGTGGCCCCGAAGCCATCTTTTCATCGTGAGGGAAATTAGAGACTCATTGCTACTTTTCAATATCTTGACTTTCTCTGATAAGGTAGTATAATATATAATAGGTTTTCTGTTTTGAGATCAAGTCTGTATTTACAGTAACTAATACGAAAATAGTGAAGTTTGAGGTTACCAGGACAATGACTAAATGCCAAGTTCTAGACACTGGGCAAAGTACATTGATGGGTCAATAAAACTCTGGGAGCCTGTGAGCAGAGACAGGATGCAGTACGGTACAGGGAGCAGAACTACAGACATAAGATTCAGATGTAGGCGAAGGAGAAAGTGAGGAAGCATCTGGGGAGACATCCTGGCTACATTTTGAAGGATACATGACAGGTGGCTGCCACTTTGGGGAGATTTAAAGAAAAGGCTGTACAGAGGCTTTGCCAAAGTTTGGTATCGTGGAGCACCTGGGTGGCTCAGTCGGTTAAGCGTCCGGCTTTGGCTCAGGTCCTGATCTCAAGGTGCATGAGTTGGAGCCCTGGCGTCGGGCTCTGTGCTGACAGCTCAGAGCCTGGAGCCTGCTCGGGATTCTGCGTCTCCCTCTCTCTGCCCCTTCCCTGCTCGTGCCCTCTCTCTCTCCAAAAAACCAAAACAAAAAAACAACATTAAAAAAAAAGTTTGGCATAGTGCATTTGGGAAATTACAAAGTATTTGATACTGCTAGCAAGTGATCTGGGAAGTGGCAGAAAGTAAGGATACGTAAATAGACAAAAGCTAAGGGGTGGTTTATGAAAGATCGGTATTACATCTCTGTATGTGGTTCTTAAAGTTGTTGAATTAGTAACTGTGTAGATGTGCCGTGCACCAGTGGACTTAGAATGCTAATCTTTTGTAGCATATCGCCTTTAAAGGTTATTAATGTAGGGGAAAATAGCACAGGTATAAAGTTTGTGTGTCACCCCTCCCGTGAGCCAAGGGTCCCCTCGCGCATGGTGCCCCCGCCAAGGCAGAAGGCGCGGCAGCAGGTGCACCTGAGGTATTCCGCAGATTGTTCGTCTCACGGCCATTCGAAGAAAAACGAATACAAAATTGTTTTCTTGTTGCAGGTCTTTTCGCTGTGCTAATTCTAAGCGTTTTTTTCTTTTTGTGCAAAGTTCTAAAAGGAATTAAATTGGAGAGAAGCTCCCTCTACCTTTTATTCTGTTGTAACAGAAACACTTCCTTGGCTGATATTTTTATTTACAGAATTTAGCTCAAAACTAAGTCTGTTCATGTAGCTTTCCTTTGAAAGCTAAACATGAGTGGAGTACAATGCTATCACTTCCATTTTATTCCATACAACGCCTCACATGCAACAAATAGGCATTATTCCTATTCGTTCTCACTATTAAATGTTTGAACGTGATTCCCTAGACTGAGTTTGCTCAGTCTGTGTCTTTGTATCTTCCGGTGACATTTAGAACATAAGTTTTGAAAAATATTATCCCTCTACTTTACAAGTCACTTACTGGAGGGCTTTTGCCATTGCTGTCTCTGTGAAACAGGTGACGTACGCCCATATGTAGCAATAAAAATTATATTATACTTAATTAATAAAGGCGATTCCCATGTCATCCGTATTTTGGGGAAAAAGGAAGCAATAAAAATACATTTCTTAGGAGGAGCTCTCAGATATTCTTTATTTTACATTTCATGGTAGCCTCAGTCTTTGGTAGAGCTTTTTATTCAAAGCTTCCAACAAAATGTTTTGCATGAAATATTTTCAGTAGCATTGTAAACGATCTGATACCTTGGTCGACCAACAATAGAGTTGACTTAGGGAAAGCAGAAATGTTGTTGAAACCGAATTTAATCATTATTTGGTCATTTCCTTCTCAATGCTTTTGATTTGACCGACCCATTTCAATGCACAGAAACAGCTCTGTTCCTCAGAGACTCTCAGTCAAAGAAATACTCACTATGGGGCAACTCGTCCTGCAATCCAAAGTCTGTGCTATTGACAACAAACATCCGCAGCAAACGTTAGTGTTTGCAGGAGGTGTGCAGTGTGTTTGGTTTCGGTCTCTGTCTCTGAAACCTATCCGTTTGGGAGAAAAACTGAGCAATAGAAGAAGTTTACCGGCACATACTGTATAGCCGTGCTTGAACTCAGTGCAGAGCTCTCACTTCCTTTCTTTCCTTGGATGCTGAGCCGGGGGGGGGGGGGGGGGGAGCACAATGGGGGTGTTGTGCTCTGGGCTAGCGTGGCATGCGTGATACTAGGAAAGGAAGTGTGAGCCGCTTCCAGTATCTACACCATTTGCTTTGTAACTACCCTGAAGTAAATCAAACAGCACGCCACGACTCTAAGCTCAAAATAAGCAAGTGCAAAATCCACTTGCTGTTGTGACCTAAATAGGGAACGGAATTCCTTGATTGAAATGTATACGTGGGTGTGCTGTTAAGGGCTGTTAAAGAAATCATTTATGAAGCTTCAGAAATGCTCCATAATTTTCACACTGCTGATTTTCCATGTAGTTCTCTTAATGTATGTCAAAGTACAGTGAATAAAAGGATCCATTGTGTATAAGGGAGAAAGGTTGTTGGTTATGAAGACTGTCCAGAACAACAAGCTGTCATGGTTTGTTACCACACTAAATATCTTAAACTCCGAGGCATATTGTAATTTTTTTTTTTTTTTTTTTTTTTGTCATACAATTTCCGGAGCCCAAGTCACTATAACAACTCTGTGTTTCTGACACTATTTTATGGAAATGTGTGTGTGTGTGTGTGTGTGTGTGTGTGTGTATGAGTGTGTGTGTATGTGCATGCTTCTCTGGGAAATCCAGAAAGCACAATGAGTGTAAATCTTTGAGGTTAAGTTTTGCTCCAAATTATTGTTATGCATTGCTTTAAAAAAAAAAAAAAAAGGCAAAGAAGCTTACCTCTGTCAGTCAAGCGGATACGCAGGGACCTCCTTCCCAGCCTCGGTCTCAGCGTGTAGGCAGATTCTCTGCGAGCCAACAATCTGTTAACAGGAAGCAGGTACACCCGAGAGCGCCCGCCTGCGTTACAGTCCGGTGCCCATCGGAGCACACACCTGCTTCTTCAGACCTGCGGCTCATATGCAGCAGCCGCGCACAGGACCGCCGTTCGCAGATGGTAACGCCCTCCTTTGGGGTCACTAGTTTTCAGGATAAGCAGCTAGAGAGCAGCTGCGATAACATTGCAGGGGAAGCTTGCCTGCCCAAGACAAAACCCTCTTCTGCCGTCTGATAGCAGATATGCAGCATGATCGCTCTGCCTTCCACTTTCTCCAATCAGCTCATGGGAACAGCAGGCAACAGCTTGTCCAAACGGCAGCTCGCGGGCATGCTTGGCCGTAATAACTGCGTGCTAGCCTGCCCATTTCTTCTCTCTTCTCTGAACGGATCTTTCGAAAATGCTTCTTCCAGGGCGAAGCTCAGCAGAATATGCCACACGGTTTTCCATAAGTAAAATGGCTGGCCCTCTCAGCACTGCTGCATACAGCTCATTGGGTTCCACTGGCTTTTCGTAGTCATGGCAACAACCAACAGACAGACTTAGACAGCAGGCATGGCTGATCATGTGCGGCACACCGACACAGCTTGTTAATTTCTTTTCACCAAACTCATCATTTTTCGCGGAGGGTAGCTTCCGGTGTCTTTCTAAATGTTTCACCGATAGCACAAGTGCTCTGAGTTTTCAGCTTTCGTGAGGAACTTTTGCTAGATGAGCCAGTGCTCCATGTGAAATTGAGACAGGGAAGCCCTTCTCAGTAGATGGATTCGGGTCTTTCCAGGTTAATAACATGTAAGTCATTGTAGAGACGCTAATTGGAACCATTGTCAAAACAGATTCTACCTTCACGTCATCGAATGGGCGTAAGGGAGATTGGCAGATGTGGGCAGTTAGACTTTGTGTTTTTGTTTATTTATTTTTATTGTTTAAAAAAATTGTTTTTTTTTTTTTTTATTTTTGAGAGAGAGAGAGAGAGAGACAGACTGTGAGTTGGGGAGGGGTAGAGAGAGAGGGAAACGCAGAACCTGAAGCGGGCTCCAAGCTCTGTGCTTTGAGCACAGAGCTTGACCTGGGGCTCCAACCTACAAACTGCAGGATTATGACCTGAGCCGAAGTCGGCCGCTTAATGGACTGAGCCACCCAGGCACCCCTATACTTTGTGTTTTTAAATGATGAGCTTGTAGCCACGTGATTGAAACAAAGCCCTACGACTCATTATATAGGGCCAACAACAACCGAATCACATAAGGATATTGTATAAGAGGCAGCCTATGGATTTCATGCATCTAGTTATTTGAATATATGTTGATGTATTATACAATTTAAGATAGAATTTTAAAAATTCCCCTTTCCTATTGCAGAAAATGATTATAACTTATTTTTCATTTAACTATTATAACTTATTTAATTTAACCTAATTATAACTTATTTTTAATTTAAAAATACTTTAACAATCCAAACCAAATTAAAAACCTTTTGCTTTACACATTATCTCCAAAGCAGGAATAGATTTACTTTCTCTGTTAGATGGATCACACCCCATCCTTCCTTAAAATGTCACCCCCTTTGGGAATTTCCCATGATTAACGCTGTTAACCGTTTATATTTTCTGCAAAATCCCCACTCTTCTCTTCAATACTGTCATCAGTCTCGGTCTATGTGATGTATTTCTAAGACACCATCCCATTTTTTTCATTTCTAGCAACCCGTTTGAAAGAGCTGCGCTAACACTTTGGATTTGTAAATGTAGATGCTTCATTTGTTAGTAGTCATTGATTTAGTATTTTCCCAGTATTGCATCTCCCTACCCCCAGCGGCACGCTTGCCTTCTGTAGCAATTCACCAACGTTAGTATGCTCAGAACCCCGTGGATGCAGATTTGGTGACCCCATTTCCCTTCCGTCTCCAACCACATTCACGTCTGGTAGGTTTGAGCCACCGCAGGGTTAACAGATCTAGGGGATGGGCCTTTCTGCTTGGTACAGTCCTCGTGACTCCATATTGTTTTAAGCCTGCTCACCTGTTCTCATTTAAGTTACCTTCCCTTCAGTTATTTTCAGCGTGTGGCACCTTGAACTTGCCCCTCCCTTCAACTTCCGCCTCATAATCCGTTCTTCACTCCTCACGTTTCAGTAACCTTGCATTACTCCTATTTCTCGCTTCCCTGTCTAGCAGATGGCCCTGCTACCTCAAAGCTTCTCAACCAGATTTTAGCTGCCCAGTACCTTTGACCTCCATCCAAATCTGCCTTTTCTATATCATCTGTCAGCACCTTGCTCAAATAGACCACCCCGCCAATGACACTCCCAGGCAGAGTACGCAGGGGCCTCCGCCATGCTTCTGCCGTACCTGGGATGTTCCTCTACTGTTGCCATACTTTTTGCGTCCCGTTGACTTGATAGCTATGCCCTTCCATGTCTGACTCTTCTACTGCTCTGTCACGTCCCCAAAAGCCAACCTTGTCCACCCGTGTCTTATTTGCCATCCATGTTTTAATTTTCTTTTTTTAAGTGTTTATTTCTTTATTTTGAGAGAGAGAGAGAGGGAGCAAGCGGGGGAGGGGCTGAGAGAGACAGAGATGGAGACAGGAATCCCAAGCAGGCTCTGCACTGTCAGCGTGGAGCCCGACGCGGGGCTCAGACCCACAAACCATGAGATTGTGACCTGAGCGGTGATCAAGGCTTAACTGACTGAGCCACCCAGGCGCCCCTTAATTATAACTTTAAGATATTTCAGTATCTTAAAACAATTTGGACGAGGACCTAAAACACTGTCTGAACGTGTGCTGAATGACTGGAGAGTGTGAAGTCTGTGTTTCAATCCACCTTTTCAACATCACACCTTTGTCAGTATTATAACTTCAGAAAAATTTAAGTGATTTTGATTAAATGTTGGCATGCTAAAAAAGTTATCACTCCTGAAACCAATATTGCACCATATGTTAACCCCAAAAAATTTAAAGAAAAAGTTATTAAGAAACATCTTAGTTCACTTTGTGTTTTAGGGTGGGTTTTCTTTGCGTTGCAGGTCCGAAAATGTCTTCATTGCACACCTACCTGTGACTGATTCTTTGGCTAGGTGTAAGAATATTTTTAGCCATTTTCCTTGGGAATCTTGAGGGCCTTCTTTTTAAAAAACCTTGTATGTTCTTGCGTCACTATGTCCCCAGATGCCACTCCCCCAAAAGAGAACTGGAAAACACCCAAGCTACTCCGAGTAAGAGACTGGCAGGAACTGAGGCTAATTTCTATGTCCCGTGGTGCCCCTCATGCTCTCTTGAGTAATTGTTATATATCACTCTCGGTGGGGGAGCTCTGTTATTTCTGAGCTCTTTGGCTTCTTCACCTCCCCCAAGCCCTACCCCTCCCAGCTCTGGCCACCACGGCTGTCGTGACCTCCCGGTTCTGCTCTACCTCATGTCTCTGACGTTCATTGTCCCTCCTAACTTGTTCGTTAAAAAAAAAAAAAAAAAATTGCTAAATACAGATTTTCAGGGAACGAATAGGATTTTTCCATCCCATTTTTCTGAGCCAAATGAGATGCTTCATAAATTGCCAGCAGCTTTCTACCTAGAATGCTCTGTGTCAGATTCTAATCTTTGCTCCAATCAGCCATGGTAGGACACTTGGCATTACGCTGCTGTAAAAATTTTTGCCAATGCCATAGGGGCGGAGTAATAGCTTGTTATTGTCTTAATTTGCGTTTCTCTAATTACTAACAGAATTACGTATCTCTTCATGTTAAAAAAAAATTTTTTTTTAACGTTTAATTTTGAGAGACAGAGAGAGGCCGAGCACGAGTGGGGGAGGGGCAGAAAACGAGGGAGACAATAGAATCCAAAGCAGGCTCCGGGCTCTGAGCTGTCAGAACAGAGCCCGACATGGGGCTCGAACCCACGAACTGCAAGATCGTGACCTGAGCCGAAGTCAGACTTTTAACTGACTGAGCCACCCAGTGGCCCCTAAATATCTCTTCGTGTTTGATGCTCTTCTGGGTTACCTCCTCCTATACATTTCCTGTCCATCCCTTTTAGCCTCTTTCCTCCGTTGAGGTTGTTGTCTTCATGTGGAATTTTAAACAAAATGGCCATTAAAAGCATTTTCAAAAGTTTTATATATGTAAGTGTTATAATTAAATTTATGACATAATTAGAACTTGGTAAGATATCCATTGGCATGTCAAGAGAAGCCCGTAATTCCTACTGCTAATTGTTTTGGTTTTTATTCTTTGGAAGTGGGTGAAAATCTCCATGCAGAATGTTTTTTTCAGTATGAAAAATACTGAATACCACAGGCATCATATGAAGAATGATTTTCCCAAACAAAACCTAAGGTCCTACAAATCTCATCGCAAAAAATGTTGGCAGCAGAAGTGCCTGGCAAAATTAATATCGCTCTCATGTTGAAAATAGTACATAGCACGAGTGGAAAAAGAGGGTCGAGGAGCTGGGACAGATGGACGGAGGGCAAGGAGGCCAGTGGAGGGCTGTGTGCGACCCTGGACCAGGGGCTGGGCCAGGAACAGGTGCATCAAGTACATCATTGAGACAACTGGTGAATGTGAATGTGGACTGTATATTTGGTAATAGTGTTGTTTGCGTTTTAGATTTGCATAACTTGGTGATTATGTTGTGGCGTTAAAAGTTCTTCGGAGACGTGTTGAAGTGTCACCTAAGTCATCAGAAAGAATAATAATGTGTAAAAGTATATTTGTAGTGTGTGTGTATGTATGGTATACTTTAGCTCTTGTAATGATGAATACATAGATGGATGGATGGATTTGTTTACTGAGGGCCAGCAAAATACAGGAAAACACCAATACCTGGTGAATCTTGGGTGAAGGGTATTTCTCGTTTATTTTACTATTCTTTCCAGTTCTCTGTAAGTTGAAAATTTTTGTTGTCAAGGTAAAAAGCTCTCAAAAAAGGATTAAAATAAAAACACAAGAGAGTGTTGAGAACACAAACGGATTTAAGGTAAGATTACTTGACGAGGGCCTAACTATCAGAGTTAAAGCTACAAGTTGGTAAGTTAGGGACGAATTAAGGTGGTTATTATCATTATGATTATTAACGTTATTAAGAGACCATTTTGGTAGAAAGTATCGGAAATATTTTGTACTTTATTGAAAGAAGTCTGTTATTTTCCTGTATTTCCTGCTTTACTGTTATTAAGCCACTTATCCCTCGGTTCCCATGTTGAAATCCTTCTTAATCTGGTCCCCTCGCCACTGTAAAACTCAGCGAGATAACTGTTGATCAAAGCAACATGTTCTCCTCCAGCCTCACCTATCCCTCCAGCTTCCACAGCTGGGTGACAGTCCACCAAGGGATCCGGTCCCTGGGGTAACAAAGAAGCTCTTTGTACAACTTAGGGAATAGAATTTGAGAATGGTTTGTTTAATGGGACAGCACAGGCTATTATGAGGCTTAGACTGAATTTCTAATTCCTAGCAACAAATAGAATAGAATATGCTACAGTTTGTTCTCAAATCTTGCATGTTTGGTTACATTAGCAATGAAATGAACAATACACTGTTACGTAGGACCAAGATGGGAAGGGTGACAACTACGTTGGGCAGGATCAGAAAGAG